ATTTATTTATTTATTTATTTATTTATTTATTTTTTTTTTTTGATGGCATGGCTGCATGTGTATAAGAAATGAAGCTTTCCTTTTACAATCCACTGTTTCCATCAGAAAGGTCACAATCCTGGGGTTTGTAACCTAACCGTTCACCACTATAGAGAGGAAGACGGCATTACTGAAGGACCCCAAGAAGCAAAAGATTATAAAAGGTGTCTTATTTCCCTTCACAACGAGGTGAACAATATTGGGAAAGAAGATGGGTTAAAAGTTTGTCTAACCTTTCAAACAGTCCCATGCCCTGTACACTGTCCCCCTGTTAAAACACCCAGGAAAGGGTTAAAGACTGCTTGTCATACAACATAGCAATGGATTCAAGAGAAGAGCATCCTTACTTTCTGGAGGGTAACAGCAAGGCAAATGAAAAGCACAGAAATTGCTTTGCCTTAATGTTACCCATGAATTTTCTATTTAACCAAAAGATTGTGCCCTGAGGTAAAAGCCAGAAACAGACTGGGCATGGCATTAGTTCTCTCTCAGGCTGAGGAGTAGTCCTCCAGCTTGCACTCTCTCTCCCATTTATAAATAATTCAAAAGTTACAGCATATGAACCCCACACCTTTTTCTTCAACCCCCAAACCAACAAGCTGGGAAGCCCTACAGCATCTATAGGGAAAGCTGGATATTACAAGATCCACAGAACATTCAGCTAGTATCCAACTAGACAATGTAAGACACAAGACAAGAAACAGAAATTCAAGTCAGAAAAAAGGATGCTAGACTGAAATGTCTCACCGTTGAGGGGGTGACTTATGGAACGAGACAGGTGCAGACAAGACGAGACAGGCCAGAAGCTGGACGTAAAGAAATGTGATGGAATCGTGAAGCGTTTCACAAAGACAGAAGACAGAAGGGGGAAGAAGATTAGAGATGGGTATCCATGCACACCTGAGTCCTGTGCCGAGGTGGCCACTGTTGTGGGAGACCGTGGCCTGATGGGGTCTAGTGGGCAAAGTCCAAGCGGGCTATCTACCACACAGCCAATGCTGGAAAATCTCTCTCTGCATTTGGGCAGTGTGCTTTCTGGAGATCTTGGGTGCAAGCCCTCTGAAAACTCTTTCAGTTTTGGATTAGTAACCCCCTGCTCATCCTGGCGTTCTGTCCTCAATGCTGGATTCTCCACAGGGCTCTCTTTAGCAGGTCCAACAGATACAGCAGCTGGGCTCTCCCTCTTGAAGACCCGCCCTTCAAGAAGAGAAGATTTCTTTTTGCAGAACCCAGCAGGAGATTGAGGAGACTCTGGTTCGAGTGGGGTTTTGGATTTGGTGGTGGGTGAGAAAGAAGCCAACGTGGGTCTGTCAGGCAATGGTTTTGGGATGTCAAGGATCAGGTGTGCCCGATTTGATGATGCCAACTTGCTGTGGAAGGGCTTGGGTGATGAGCAGCTTACAACTTGCTGAAGGGCCTGCTTTCCTGGGACATTTTCTTTTGTAGGTGACTTATTCTTCTCAGTCTCTGCGGGGGGAGTTAACTGTATCTTCTCAGACCCCTGGGAGCTGGTCCTTTCCTCAGTCAGTGTTTCAGCAAGGTCACCAACGCATAGATTTTCCCCTACAGAGATACTGCGTGACATCTTGGCCATGAAGCTGGTTGTGGGATTCATGTAGGACTTTGGTTTTGTGACCTTACTATCTTTGACCACCAGGGAGTTGGACCCATCCATCTTCAGCAGGCTTGCAGACAATTGCTTGCAATTATTAGGTTTTGGATCCTTCTCAACTACCGCTAATGTCTGAGGACGTTGCTTGGTAGAGGACATTGTTCCTGGACTCTTATCTGTGAAAATTAAGCAGAAACAGTATTAATGTTGATAGGTCTCAAAATCCTGCCCCTCCTTCACTCCCCAGAGGCCTGGTTGCTTATTTTAAGATGACGACCCTCCCATAAGGTCTAAGGCTAGAAGATTTTAGAAATAAGGATTTTTAAGAGAGAGGGGAAACCAAAGGAAGCAGGAGAAACTCCTCATTTCTCATCTCTCCTCAGCTTTCTCATTCACATAGAGCAATGTGGTTTTGACAAAAATAGTGAATTTAGTGCTGGGGAAAGGGCCAACATATTGTCCAGCCAATGTGCTCCATCCTGCCCTGCAGTGACTACCTCAGGCCAGAGAGGAGTTTTCTGTTCATGGCTTATTCCATCTGTGGCCTCCCCGCTGAGACCGTCAGACGACACTGGTTATCAAAAATGGCGGCCACGTGATGGTGACTAAGGACTTGGCCAAGAATGCTGACCCACATGACTGGACACAGAGTATTAGCAAGTTCAGGATGCCCTGCCTTTGCTACTGCAGCTTGCCAATCCACAGAGTCATTAGTTCAGGATTTCCGGTTCACTGCCATAGTGCACTTCCCTCCCTTTGACAGAGTGCCACAACGATGGCAACCACTGACTTTCTGGTTGGCTGGAGAGGGGTTACACTTCCAGTATTTCAGAGTCAGCATGAAAGTTGAACTCTATCCTCACCAACCCCTGTAGTCCTCCCTCTCATTTAGAAGGCCTGCTGAGCCAGCAATTCCTACCCAGAGCCAACAGGTGATGGGAGCCACAAACTAGTCTGTTGGGTAATGAAGGATATCTTTCTTGGCATGCAAAGAGTTAAGGATCCCAGAGCCCATAGCTGACCTACCACAAGAACTAGCTCTACTTAAAATCAGTTCCCCTGCCCCCATCCATATACTCTTGTAGGGTATGTCTACACTACAAAGTTAATTCGAACTAACAGACATTAGTTTGAATTAACTTTGATAGGCGCTACACATACAAACCGCTAGTTCGAACTTAATTCGAACTAGCGGAGCACTTAATTCGAACTAGGAAAACCTCGTTCCAGGAGGACTAACGCCTAGTTCGAATTAAGCAGTTCGAATTAAGGGCTGTGGGGCCACTTAATTCGAACTAGTGGGAGGCTAGCCCTCCCCAGCTTTCCCTGGTGGGGAGGGCACCACCAGGGAAACTCGTCTGCCCCACTCCCGGCCCCGGAGCCCTTAAAGGGGCACGGGCTGGCTACGGTGCCCGTGC